CTCTAACCAGACATATAATTGGTATGCTCCGTTTAAAGTGCTCACATTGGCATGCATTGCTGAGCAGTCCTGACGAAGCCACAAATTTGAGGGAAATAATGATTTTACCAAGCTAATATCCCTGGAATCAGAATAATAAAGCTGTAATGCACTGATGATTCCAAATGAGATATAGTATTACTGTATAAAAGGTACTGTACCACGTTTCATGTGTTGGTTGTGGAATTTAATATGGCCACACTTACAGATTATTAATGCAGATTGTGTTTCTTTTTTATATACAGCCGCTTGTGTTGTGGCCGAAACGTCGTGAGAATTTTATTGTGTTATTTTATTTTATCAATTTATTATTTTATTCTCATTCTACGTGACTTTACCGAAAGAACCAAAGAAGACAGATTGTGTTTGTTTACGCGTTCAAGCTACAGCGGGGTTTAACCCATGACGCTGAATTCATTAACTTTCTTACAACCTAGGAAATACCAATTAAACATATGAACCTTATGGCGGGACCCCGGGGTCTCGAATAAACGGAAGTCAAAATCGTAACACATAAATCTACTGTTTGGCGACTCCGTCCCCGCGCACATCAACGCCGCAACCCGCCTGGCGCGGATCGTTCTGTTGTCGTGTCGTGTCCAAGCGCAGAAGAAACGAAACTTTGATGAGCGCACCGTGTAGAGCTCGTCGAGAGGAGTCGATCGCCGCGTCGTTCGCCTTCTAACAGACGTAAAACGACGTCGCGACGCAGTTTGTGCGAGAGCCGGGGGGCTTATGGGACCCCAGGGTCACCACCCCGCCGTAAGGTTCATATGTTCGTGTCAAGAGCTAAATCTTCGTCTGATATTGTGGTGTGTTAAAATGGGGGGCGAATCCTATGGGTCCCAGCTTCAGGAAATGCAATTTAAGAAGGCATATCATTTACGATACACATCACTGACAGATATCGGTTGCAGCTTCAAAACTGTGGAAATTAGTAGCATCGCCAGTAGTCACCTCCATTGCCATAAAACATTCATTATTTTGTTTAAACAAGAACGCCGAAGAACCATTTGAACATCAGTATTTCTCTTAAGCACATTGTGCAGCCCTAATTATTGAGAACCCAAAACTGCATTATTATATATATTAAAAAAAACTTTATCCTGTCCACCTTTAATAATAGAATTATTCTCAATGGCCTGTCATCTGGTTAAAGGAACATTTTAACTTGATTTGAAGATTTCGTGACTGCAGGAATCCATACTCTTTGGTTATCTCAGTAAAGTCACGTAGGTAGAAAATAAAATAATAAAATAGTTCATTTTATTTTATACCTACGTGACTTTGCCGAAAGAACCAAAGAGTAACGTGTTACCTGAGAATAAGTTAAGCTTAGAACTCAGTGATCAAGAGTGCAAAGTGAAAATATAATAGTCCAAGATACTTAAAATTTAAATATATACGTTTATTCAACCGCATCTGCACTTAGGCACAACGCAAAAGTCAAACGACCACAAATATGCGTTTAGAATGGAAAAGAAGTGATTTTTCATTGCAGGTTGGTAAGTACAGTACATACAACTGCACAATATGCCTGCAGTTAAACGTCATTTTGCAATCAGATCCTCTGCACAAAACGTGTGGATCGCCAAATTAACATGCAATCGCTGATGGGAACGTAATAAAAGCGTGTATTATTAAACGAGGCAAACACACAATTGAACCCACAAGCACAACACTCCTCCACTTTTCGCTGTCGTTTATCGAGGGCCCTAGCAACACCGCGCCTCGCTGGCATTCAACACCCCAGCTACTACCCCACATACCAGATCCTTGACACACCGCTAAGCAGGGATTCATCAGCAGATGACATTCTTCTCCCCCATCCTCTCACTTATGCACAAACAGCACCCATTAAAAGCTGAGCAGTAGCCGGTAGCAGGAGACACTGTACCAAAAATGCAATTAGTGGCAGCAGTCCAAATCGATGAGGTTAATGCAGCAGGGTTGGGATGGACCTTCACTGCCGTGCTAGTGCACCTTTAAACAACCTTCTTAGGAGATTGCAAGCTCGGGATGGTGAGAGATATATATTCAGTATATCTCTCTCGTCTGTGTGTGTGTGAGAGAAAGAGAGGGAAACACATCATTGCCTGGAGAAACTCCCCACATGTTTGCAAGATTAAAAATAAAATTACACACACACACGTAGCCATCGCAATCCTGCTTGCTACATTGCCCTCTGCAGGCACTCTTGAAGCACAAGACTAAAGTGTCTTCTTTAAATACAACTCGCTCTGCGGACCACCATTATGCAAAGATGTACTCTAACATCTAAACATGCCCTTGTAAACGTGCGCACATGTAGTGTGAATAGTATTCTAAATACGCCATCTACTTCATACACAAAATAACCTCACCAATATCATGTTATCCGTATACTATGCACTTCAGTCACTGGCGCGCGCGCGCGCACACGTGCAATCGCACAGCTCAATTAATGGGCATTTCCGCTCAAGACGAAAAGCATTACAATTTTTTTAAAAAGTTGTGCCTGAGAAATCGCCGCCTCTTCCTCCTCATATTTCGATATGATGAGGAGGAGGCGGCGGTGGGTGGGAAACAATATCATCACCCGAGTCAACTGCAGACGCCACGGGCTCGCACAAACACAACGTGACCCTCGCTGCATTCTCAATTGCTGCTGCTGCCGTCACCAAACGCACGCGCGTCTCGTGAATAGCTTGGCCAGGGACTTTCTCGGTATCTCTCAATACACAACAACAACAACCACCGCCATTCACCACTAAGTGGCGGTGACGTCAGCACGACGCTTGTGCCAGGCTGGGTGCACGTTGAGGCTACCACGTGAAGAAGTGTCGAACGCCCTCTGGCAGGAGGTCACGGGGCAGACCCAGCAGGTGCCACGGGTCGACTGACTGAGATGACTGAGATGACTGGCCGATGCACCACCTGTGCACCCCTACTGTGCCAACTTGCTGTGCTTTAGCCACCCAACAACAACAACCACCACGTCAACCAACTGGTTGGTTGACGTGGTGGTGAGCATGACATCCATTCACAAGGGGGATTGTCATCAAATCTTGCGACACAGTAGATACTAGATGCATCCAATGACACTCAAATAATATTACGGGGTTTTTTTTTCGTGAATAATTATTCAAGATATTACGTAATTGTCGGGAAAAGCAACGTTCTTCAATGCTGTTTCATTAGATTTTTTTGCACGAGTGCTGGGCATGTCAGCGGAATATCCATTTAAAACATCCACGTGTGTGTGTTAAGAAACCACACCGCCAAAAATAGAACGATAAATTATTCAACGACGGGTTGAAAAAAAAGTAATAAAAAATGCGACCTCTGTTCATTGGTTGGCACTGGGCTGCTCTGAACAGTCGGTTAAAGACAAAACAATGCCTCTCACAAATCGGCCAGATCCGTGTCCACTGTAGCCAACAGCAAGCCGAGTCGTGCGTGGCACGAAATCTGTTGCTATTTTTGGTCCTTAACACGCGTTTTAATTCTCACCAATACGCGACATGTACATTTCACCGTAACAGTATACCGTATTGGCAATGGTGAAAACGTGCTTTAAATGCATTAGGTAACCATTGGTGAAAATTAAATAAACGTTATGAATCTAACGTTGCAACAATTATCATGCCCTATATACACACACACACAATGCTGCCCGTTTCATCCACGCGTTGTTAAAGGAGGGGGGGAGCCGTGGTGAAGCCGAGCTCAGTTGCCAGACACTCGCCCTGGATCCATACACCACTTTGGGTGAAGAAGGCCTATCCGTGGCTTACCACGTTGGCCACACCACGCCTAATTAATCCACGTTGCATTGGGTGGAACGCGAGGCAGTGAAAATATGTTTTTGTTTATATCCACTGCTGTTTGATTGTCAACATTAACGTTGCTCTTCAATGTATGGCTGTAGGCGTATTGTACCTAAACATTTCAAATGTAGTATCACAAAGTAGTATTTTCTTTTAAAACACATAATTGACGCAAATATTCAATTGTTTGTTCACATTGTACACTGACAGTAACCGTAAGATCCAGTGCGCTGGTGTGTTTACATAATTGCCTTAAATGGAATGGATGTATACGTCGATACTGTACATTAATAGCACGTGAAAGTAACGCCTTCATAAGAATGCCACCTTAAAGAAGCACAGACCAATGACACTACGATGAATACATTGCACGTGGTAACACAGTTGGATATCTCGACCACTGGATGCGTACAAGACTCTTGCACTGGGGGGGGGGGGGAAACGAGATCAAAGTGAGTTGAGCTATGAGGCGGTTATCATCCTGTTCGCAGGCCCGAGCCAGTGGTGGCAATTCCACGTTCCTACGGCGGGGTGAGTCTATCCAAAGATTAACCACTGTTGACTTCCCCTGCAAAGCGATACTTATTTTAACGACCAGAGGGTGAGAGAGATTGATGAGCCGAGTCAACCACCAGCGGCATGATTTAAACTCGCATCCCTCCGATTGCGAACCACCGTACACAGCTCTCGGTAAAAATACAATTGCGCTGCGCGTGCGTTAATTGCACTGTTGTTTCAGTGCAGAATGGTCGACTGTGTTTCACGGTATACAGTACTCTCAGATCGGGCGACAGGCGGTGGCTGCTGCATCGACCATTAAAACAAATCTGCAAGAACTCTTGCCCAACCAGACACGCAACTTGCACGTGCGAAATCAGCCAGCGCGCATTCCATCATTAGGCAGAAGCGACACTCATGCATACCTCCGTCTAATCAACCGCGCCACCCCCGACAACGGGAAAACAACAACATTCCAATCAATATCTCCCTCCGGAGCGAGGTCTCATTCGTATCGGGCAGCGGAGCAGCAGCAGCAGCAGGTCCGGGAGAAGAGATGGCAGAGAGAGAGATGGAGGAGACATGATGAGACACACAAGGGTTGCAGCTCATTGACCACGCTGCCTGCGTGTGGCCAGGTGTAACAGACCTCACCTGCGCGTGCTGCTCTGCGCCTCGGAGCACGAGGGGGAGGTGTGGGTGGGTGGGGAGGGCCCCGGGGGAGGGGGTGTGGACGAATGCGTGGCCCCTGGCTCCTCGCGGAGTCCCGGCTCCTCCGCCTCTGCGCTGAGCCACGGTCGCATCAGCAGCAGCAGCCCCCCGCCGCATCCGCCTCCCCTCTCCTTCCACTGACGTCAGCGGCAGCATCACAGAATCCAGTGCTGCACTCATCCCGCTCCCTCTCTCTCCTCTCTCTTTTTTTTACGATCAGAAGAAACAAGATGCTCGGTGTAGTCGGCACTTTGCTCCGTTCATCATTTCGTATTTTTTAATGCTTTGCTTTATGTAACCCCCCCCCCCCTTTTAAATGAAAGACCCAAAAATTATGTTTTTCTTTTTTTTCTCCTTTCCCCTTCCCTCTCTCTCCGCCCCCCTCTCTGCCCCCCCCTCTCTCGCTACCCCCCTCTCTGCCTCTCCTCTCTCTCTACCCCCTCTCCGCCGCCCCTCTCTCTCTGCCCCCTCTCTTCCTACTCCATTTGGCTCTCGCTCTCTTTTTTTTCTTTATAACTACATCTCTCTCTCCATCTATCCCCATCTCTCCATCTCTCTCTCACTCCCGGCTCTCACTCTCTCTCCTGGCTCCCTCCTCTCTCCTGGCTCTCACACTCTCTCCTGGCTCCCTCCTCTCTCTCTCCTGGCTCTCACACTCTCTCCTGGCTCTCTCTCTCCTGGCTCCCTCCTGGCTCCCTCCTCTCTCTCCTGGCTCTCACACTCTCTCTCCTGGCTCCCTCCTCTCTCCTGGCTCTCACACTCTCTCTCCTGGCTCTCACACTCTTTTTTTACAGCAATGTTTTTATTCAACGGATTTGACATATAAGATCGACAATTTGAACAGCAGTCCATAGTAGAGGGGCACATTAGGGGCACAGTTGGAACATCTGCCATTCATTTCAGTCAACCCATGGCACCAGGGTCTGTCCCGTGACCTGTCAGCGAGCATTGGGCACATCACATGGCCTCAAAGTACACCTGGCCTGGCACAGGCATCGTGGTGATGTCACCGTCATGTAGTGGCGAATGGTGGGTGGTGGCATTGGGACCGCTTTTCAGTTAGGAGCAGGGCCTCTTGAGTTAAAGATGCCTGCCCAGGAGGGAGTGGGGCCTAGTGAGTAAGGATGACCTGATCAGGACGGATTGGGGCCTAGTCAGAAAGGATGCCTGACCAAGAGGGAGTGGGGCCTAGTGAGTAAGGATGCCTGATCAGGAGGGAGTGGGGCCTATTGATAGTAAGGTCCATAGATTTTCTTGGCCTTCTTGGGCTCTTCGCCATCAGTGGCAAATGAGGCCAATTTAATGGCGGTGGTGGTGGCGGCCACGTGGATGTCCTTGGCAGCATCCAATCTGTCGGCGTCGGTCGGGGTGGCAGCGGTTGATCGGCCTGCAGACGCAGGCCTTGTGGTGATAGACCGTCGAGTTGTAGCCGTCCAGAAAAGTTCTCGAACAAAATTACGGAATTTGCGAAACTTGGTTTTTCGATGGGTGGGGGGTGTGGTGGCACCCACGTCGATGGTGGTAGAACTCCTGGCCACAGTCGGGGTGCCAGCATTGCATCTCCCGGCATCAGTCGGGGTGGCAGTGGTGTCGGCGAGGGAGCAGCCAGGCGCAGCCGTGGTGGCAGCGTTGCATCTCCCGGCATCAGTCGGGGTGGCAGTGGTGTCGGCGAGGGAGCAGCCAGGCGCAGCCGTGGTGGCAGCAGCGTTGCATCTCCTGGCATCAGTTGGGTTGGCGGCAGTGGCGGCGAGGGAGCTGCCAGGAGCAGGTGAGGTTGTGGTGGCGGCTTTGGAGCTGCCAGGAGCAGCCGAGGTTGTGGTGGCGGCTTTGGAGCTGCCAGCAGCAGCCGCCAATGTGGCACTAGATCTACCAACTCCAGCCGGTGTGGTGGTGGGTGTAAATGACGTGCCAGCAGCAGCAGCCAGGGTGGTGGTGTTGTTGGTGTTGGTGGCGATGACCCTCCCAGCAGCAACCTCCGGGGCAGCGGCAATACTGCATGTGGCAGCTGGGGTAGCATTGGCGGTAGTGGTCGTGTTGGTGGACACCGTGGTCGTGTTGGTGGACACCGTGGCCGTGTTGGTGGACACCGTGGCCGTGTTGGTGGACACCGTGGCCGTGTTGGTGGACACCGTGGCCGTGTTGGTGGACACCGTGGCCGTGTTGGTGGACACCGTGGCCGTGGCTTTCTTCAGGAAGGTCGTCTGGGTCTTCAGTTCCTTGAGCTGGCGACGCGTCATTTCCAGCAGCAGAAGGAGCTCCGCATTCTCCCGTCCGTATCTGTAGCTGTTGCGGGCATAGGCAAAAAGGATGGCCAAGAATATCACGGACGCCGCCGTGAACGTGACCACCGCGGCCATCAGCGCGTCGCTACCCTTCGAGATGGCGGTAGGAGGCAGTTCGCAAGGGCAGTTGTCGCAGGGATTTCCGACGACATCTCGGTCTTCTCCTCCTCCTCCAGTGCTGAAGAAGTGGAACATTTTCCAAAAGAGGATAAGTAGCCCCTCGGGATCCGCCATCGTTGCCTGCGAGCTGCTGTGCGTCTTATCTCGACGACGAAGGCGATGCGAGTGACGTAGTGGCGAGGAAGTGACGTCACGGCGGGGGCGTCACCCTCCAGCGCCGTCACGTGGGTCACACGGCGTGCGGAGCCACATGCTCCGCTCGTCGAGGGCGATGACGTCACTGCTGTGCAGCATGGCCGCTGCTGCTGCTGCTCACGCATCAGTCAGAATGTATTCACACTGCAGGGGGAATCCGATGAGCTATCAAGCTCTTTTGTCACAGATGTCCAGTAGGAGGCAGGGGGTCAGAACGTGACAACAAACTGCACAAAAACACAACAGCAGTGCAAAATGTAGGAAAGGTAACATATCACAGAAAAATATATACGAAATAAAACTATTTTTTTTATCTTGGCAGGTAAAGCCTACTGAGTTATTAGAAGCGACCTGGTCACAAATGATAGCTCAATAAAGTGGCTTATGGCGTGTAAAATTATAGCAGCGAAATAATATAAATTATCGAGAGGCATGTTTCTCATGAACTGGCAAATGTGTGTGTGTTATTAATCACGTAACAACCATTATTCATGAGCTACGTCGGGTGGAGGAGGGGTGTAAGACACAACAACTTTACTTGTCTTCTTTGGTTCTTTCGGTAAAGTCACGTAGAATGAGAATAAAATAATAAATTGATAAAATAAAATAACAATAATATTCTCACGACGTTTCGGCCACAACACAAGCGGCCTTCATCAGGTGAAGGGACGAGACTGTCTGGTATCAATTTATTATTTTATTCTCATTCTACGTGACTTTACCGAAAGAACCAAAGAAGATGAATCCTTGCAGTCACGAAAGCTTTAAATCGAAATTTAACTTTACTTGTCTTGCTGTTTATATTCTCCTCAGCGATGCTTCTCCGTTGTGTATTATTATCCGATAATATATTATCCGATAATAATATATTATTATCCTGTTCAGATTTTTATTGTATCGACATTGAACTAATTTCTTTCACAGAAGTGGGTCGCTTTTAAAAAAAAAATTAGTTTAAACATTTCTGTTTCGCTGTAAACGATACAACTGTAAATAATATCTTTTTCGACATAGAATTGTAATGTATAATCACTTATTGTTAGTAGCTCAGCTGATTGGAGATTATATTGAGTTTATTGATATTGATGTAGTTTATATTTGAGTTTTTTTCATCAGTTTACTATATGGTATTCATTATATAGTGTAGTGTATACCCAGTTACTTTATGTTAATAGCTCAACTTATTGGAGAATATATTGAGTACATTGATTATATTGATTAGTTTTATTTTTATTATTTTATTATTTCCCTTCTACGTGACTTTACCGAAAGAACCAAGAAGATGTAAATAATAACTTTTTTTAAAAACTTTGTAATCTTAACGCCTCGCGTGTGGAGAATTGGCGCGCGCTCGGCTCTGAGGGAACAAAAAAGAAACCGCCACTCGCGCCACCACGGAGACCCCTGTGTGTGTCTATGTGTGTGTCTATGTGTGTGTCTATGTGTGTCTTTGTGTGTGTGTCTATGTGTGTGTGTCTATGTGTGTGTGTGTCTATATGTGTGAGTGTGTGTGTGTCTATGTGTGTGTCTGTGTGTGTGTGTCTATGTGTGTGTGTCTATGTGTGTGTCTATGTGTGTGTGTGTGTCTATGTGTGTGTGTCTATGTGTATGTGTGTGTCTGTGTGTGTGTCTATGTGTGTGTGTCTATGTGTGTGTCTTTGTGTGTGTGTCTGTGTGTGTGTGTCTATGTGTATGTGTGTGTGTGTCTGTGTGTGTGTCTATGTGTGTGTGTCTGTGTGTGTGTCTATGTCTGTGTGTGTGTCTATGTGTGTGTGTCTGTGTGTGTGTCTGTGTGTGTGTCTGTGTGTGTGTGTCTATGTGTGTGTCTATGTGTGTGTGTCTATGTGTGTGTGCCTATGTGTGTGTCTATGTGTGTGTGTGTGTCTTTGTGTGTGTGTGTCTATGTGTGTGTGTGTGTGTCTATGTGTGTGTGTCTATGTGTGTGTCTATGTGTGTGTGTCTGTGTGTGTGTGTCTATGTGTGTGTGTGTGTCTTTGTGTGTGTGTGTCTATGTGTGTGTGTGTCTATGTGTGTGTGTCTATGTGTATGTGTCTGTGTGTGTGTCTGTGTGTGTGTCTATGTGTGTGTGTCTATGTGTGTGTGTGTGTCTATGTGTGTGTGTCTGTGTGTGTGTGTCTATGTGTGTGTGTCTATGTGTGTGTGTCTATGTGTGTGTGTGTGTGTCTTTGTGTGTGTGTGTCTGTGTGTGTGTCTATGTGTGTGTGTCTATGTGTATGTGTGTGTGTGTCTGTGTGTGTGTCTATGTGTGTGTGTCTGTGTGTGTGTCTGTGTGTGTGTCTGTGTGTGTGTCTATGTGTGTGTGTCTGTGTGTGTGTCTGTGTGTGTGTGTGTCTATGTGTGTGTCTATGTGTGTGTGTCTGTGTGTGTGTGTGTCTGTATGTGTGTCTGTGTGTGTGTCTGTACGTGTGTCTGTGTGTGTGTCTATGTGTGTGTGTGTCTATGTGTGTCTATGTGTGTGTGTCTATGTGTGTGTCTATGTGTGTGTCTATGTGTGTGTGTCTATGTGTGTCTATGTGTGTGTCTATGTGTGTGTCTATGTGTGTCTATGTGTGTGTCTATGTGTGTGTGTCTGTGTGTGTGTCTATGTGTGTGTGTGTCTATGTGTGTCTATGTGTGTGTCTAT